AGGGCAAAATTACCGTGAAGGAGGTGCTGAAGGTGGAGAAAGACTTGGCCATTGAGAGAGAGGTGAATGAGCTCCGACGCCAGTACGAAGATGAGAAGTCCAAGGGTCGTTCCAACGAGCGGGAAAAGGCTGAGCTGCTCAGGAAGATCCAGCTCCTGGAGGAAGAGAACGCCAAGGTGGTTGTCCAGGAGAAAGTGCGTGAGATCGTGCGCCCAGATCCCAAGGCTGAAAATGAAGTTGCCAACCTTCGTCTGGAGCTGGTAGAGCAGGAGAGGAGATACCGAGGTGGTGATGAACAGCTGAAGAGCTGCCAGAATGAGTTGGCTGCTCTGAGGAACAGAGAGCCACTGGTAGAAGTCAAAGAAGTTATTAAGGAGGTCATTAAATACAAGAATGATCCAGAAACTGAAAAGGAGCTACAGCGACTCCGGGATGAAATCATAGAGAGGACAGGAGCAATTGAAAGAGCTGACCTTGAGATCTACCAGCTGAAACAAGAGATACAAGCTTTGAAAGATACCAAACCTCAAGTGCACACAAAGGAAATTGTTCAAGAAATTCTGCAGTTTCGGGAAGACCCCAAGACTAGAGAGGAGGTAGAGTCTCTGAGAGTGCAGCTGGCAGATGAACAGATGAAACACATTGACCTGGAGAGGGAACGGGTACTCCAAGAAGAGAAAGTAAGACAGAAGGAGGAAGAACTTTCCCAGGTGAAGGAGAAAGTGGTCCAACAGGAAGTAGTGAAGTACGAGCAAGACCCTGCTTTGAAAGCTGAAGTCAACTCCTTCTCTCAGAGCATTGAGAGCGAGCTGAAGCAAATTGATTGCCTCCGTGAAGAACTCCGCAAGCTGCAGAGGAGGCGGTCTGAGCTAGAGCATCAGCTAGAAGAACTTGAGAAAGAGAGACAGGCCCGCAGAGAGGCTGAACTGGAGGTGCAGAGGCTGAGGATTAGGTTGAATGAGTTGGAAGAACAGGAGAGGGAGACAACAGAACGAGTAACTGTGAAACAGAAAGTGATCCTTCAGCAAGATCCCCAGCAAGAGAAGGAGCACTCCCTCCTCAAGCTGGAGCTAGAAGAAGAGAAGCACCAGAGACAAGTCTTGCAAACTGAACTAGAAGCCCTGAGGAAGAAGCTCCTTTCTTTGGAGAGGATGGAAGTCAAAGAGAAAGTGGTCTTTTCAGAGAGTGTCCAAGTGGACAAAGGAGACACGGAGTACGAGATTCAAAAGCTGAAGAGCAATCTGGAGGAAGAAAGTAGGCATAAGAGGGAGCTAGATGCAGACATCAACCGCCTTGAAACCAGGCTGTCTGAGGTGGAATTCAACAACTCCAAGTCATCAAAAGAGCTAGACTTACTAAGGGAGGAAAACCACAAACTACACCTTGAGAAACAGAACCTGCTGATGGAAACAAGGAGACTGCAGTCAGAGATTGAACTCACAGCAACAGAGGCTCGGGATTTGAGAAACATGACCCACGTAGACAGTGGAATAAACCTGGAATCCAGATTCCAAGCTTTGGAAAGAGAGTTAGATGATCTGAAGCAGTTATCCAGAGAAAAAGATGCAGAGATAGAGCAACTCCAGAATCGCCTCAAGACAGTAGCTATCAAGAGGGAACAAAGAGAGAACCACCTGAGGCGCTCCATTGTGGTCATTGACCCCGATACAGGAAAAGAAATGTCTCCAGAGGAAGCTCATGTGCTTGGCCTCATTGAATGGAGCCTGTTCGTCAAACTGAAGAGTCAGGAATGTGACTGGGAGGAGATCTCAATAAAGGGTCCCAATGGGGAATCATCTGTGATCCTCGACAGGAAGTCTGGCAGAGAGTTCTCAATTGAGGATGCCTTGAAGAGTGGAAGGCTAACCATGGCTCAGTACAACAGTTACCTCAACAAGGAGATGTCGATCCAGGAGTTGGCAGTCTTGGTGTCCGGAAGTAATTACACAGCGCTCCCTCCATTTTAGAAACTTTTCTAAAGAGCAGCTAGTCAGAGCTGCACCACTTGTTAGACTATCAGATCACTGCAAATCCTTGCCCTCCTTTGTGTCTTCCAAAATGCTAGAGCCTCTGCCTCAGCCATGCTACAAAGCCACGCTCCTTGCTGTCATACACTGCAGAAAAAGCACCACCAGTAGTGGAAAACACATTTGTCACGACTACAGCAAAACCTTCTCCCCGCCTTCATCTCTACCCAATCACTCAACCTAACAAAATACAAGACAAAAAGCCTTAGGACAGCGAAGTACCTGAAATCCAAAGACTCAGTAGAACCTGCAGTTTCCTCAACATACACTCACATAGTCGCATAAAAAGCTGTATACAGCAGTCACTAGAGAGACTGAAGGTCAAGATGACTCCAAGGGTAGTAACCAGCAGGAGCTGGTTACGTCAGCTGCATGTTGGTAAGCTGGATAGTTTCATTGTGGACAACTAAGTAATGAGATCGTCCTCCCAGAAAACCAGCTCTGTAAAAACAAAGGTGTACTACACATCTCAGTTCAGTATCACCACATTAATACCTAAACACCATAATTTTGTTCACCTACGTGCCTATGCTGCTGGGGAAGGGTGAAGCAGATGTAATTTGATGGCATCAGACGTAGTTCCAGGAGGAGGATTCACATACCACAGAGGTCAACAAAAAGTACGTGAAGAGATGGCAGTATTGCGAAACACAAGAGGGTAGTGTAAAGCATGCAGCTGTAATCAAACGCAGAGTGCCTTCGAAACACAGTTAGCTTACCTCATGGTTAAAAGCCATTTGTGCTGGTATTTTACTGGATGGAGTTACATGCAGCTACATGTTTCATTTACTTGTGTAAGGGAATGGGAAATAGAGGGGAATTCTATTTATAGTACAGAATAAAAATGCAGTGGTTCCAATCAAAAGTTGGTTTTTCTTTATTAATGACAGCAGTCTCTTTGGCTTTACAAAAAGATGCCATGTCAGAGTCAAAGTTAAAAAAATAAGACTGTTCATTTTAGCTGTTGACTCTTTTCCAAAAGGGAGATTGCTGGAGCAGCATTAGAGCTGGGACTAATTAGCAGCATTAGATGGAAGTGAACTGCACTAACGAATGGGACTACAGCTGCAGGAAAACAGGGAATTACACTGGGATGGTACCAGGGACTCCCACATCTAGAGCACGTTCATTTTCTTTTTCCCAAATTTCAGCTAATACCTGAACCCCAGTAAACTCTGCAGTCAACAAAAGCAGCTGTAAGCACTCACTGCATATCCATCCTGGCTTTGGGGATTAACACCATTATTTTACCTTTGTGAAGGACCATGCAGGATCACGCCGTTGCTCCAGGGTCTGAATCCCCGTGTGTTCTTTCCAGCAGATGTCAACTTCAAGCATCAGCAGGAGCACACTGAATGAGAATATGTGATTCTACCAGAACAGCTAGAAACAGAGCTGTAATTTACTTACCATTTAAGAGACTAGTTAAAACAGTAAATAATTCATTACTCACTCAAGAAACAGATGATCAAGAGATGATCATCCAAGCTGAAACACAAATTCTTGAAAACAAAATCATGAAACTAGAGGTAAGGAGATGGAAAAAAGCATATTGGAAACTTTGAAACAATTTATTCACTTGTTCTGTACAAGATTAAGTTTTCATACCACCCCCACCATCTTCAGCAAGACAGTCCCAACACACACACACACAAAAGTAAACCACAGCCCTTACACCCAAAAGGAACTGCCATACTAAGTAAGTGCCATGGGAGCCTTGCCTCCCCACGCCATCACGAAAGCGTTGCAAGTTGCCTCGTCAAGGCAGAGATGCCAGACTCCTGGCTCCCCCTCAGCTGTTGGGTCTCTACATGGTTCTGCCTTGCTGCGACTCTGCTCCATACCATTCACTCATTCATTATAGCATGTAAAGAAAAAATATCCCACAGAACTTCCACCAAATAAACATTTCCCTGAGGCAAGAGGCTTCGCTAAATTCCTAGAAGGAGGGCATTCTGCTCTGGCCATGCACATGGGTGCTTCCCAGCAGAAGCATTCAAGTGAAAGCAAAGAGAGGGAGTAGAAACGGTACCTCGGGTCACTCGCTGAGAGTCCTCATCCTGCCAGGTGTTTGAATGCTCTTTCAGCTACCATAGGAAGTTGAAGGTGCAAAGTACCTCTCAGGATTAGGCCTTCAACGGGAACCATGCGACATCCACTGCTCAGAGTCCATCAATAATTGCTGTGCTTAGTTTTAACAACACAAGTTCTGTCTTTGGCTCTTTTGCTACAACCTAGGTATTTTCTGTAAACAAATTTAAAATCTGAGCTGCTTTTTTTTTTTTTTAAATACAAACAATGCATTGATTTTGGGAAATTATGTATCAGCTCAAATTGAAAACAGTCCATTTTGGATCTTAACAAAAATGGGGAAAACTAAAGCAGATATTTGCTGGTATACTCAGTGTCAGCATCCTTCCCCAAAGCTCTAGAGGGAAGGCTGCAAGCTTTTGCTTGAAATACCAGTAAAGTCTATGTGGATCAGTGCTACTACTGCACTATTCAGGTGTGGCTGTGGGGGCCTGAGAAAAGGCAAACAGGGGGAGAGTAAAAAAATCAAAACCCATAAAGCTCAGCTGGAATTACAGCCTGCCCTTAGGTATGCACGGACTAAAAGGGTGTGCTCAGGAGAAGTATTTAGGTCTAAGAGTTAAAAAATTAAAAAGAAAAGACACACCCCAATTCTAGGTGATCCCCATTCCTGCAGCTGTGACAAACACATGATCCTAGTGCAGAAATCATCGAAGAGAGCAATATTATTCTCTGGAATTCATTTGACTAGTAGTGACCTTAGTTAATCTAGATCATTCCCTCTGCCCACCAAAGAGATCATAATTCACAACCCTAGGAAAGAATGGCTTTAGGGGAGGGTCTGGAACCCGCTTGCACAAACTTGGATAAGAACTGGTGCTCTTGCTGGATTTGGTACTGTGTTCGCAGTCACCAAGACACCACTGAAGTCCAGACAGTGCAGCTTTTTTTTGATGTGCAACCATAAAAAGCTCTATTAAATAAAACAGAATACATTTTAAATACAGAATGATTAAAAAAGGGTTCAGGAACACACAAAATAGGGCTGAAATGTGTGTCACTAGTCCATTCTTGCACCACCTTAAAGGCACTGGAATTATGTCTTCCTATACATATGACATGCCAAGAAGTGTCCCATTCATCCAATGCATTTGATGGTAGTGAGGATAAAACTGAGCAGGAAAAAAAGCATCCCTTTGGAGAAATAAAATCCAAAACTCAAAAGAAGTAGAATTCTCGAAGTCAATGACTGCATCTAAAAATGTCTCTCTAAAGAGTCTTCCTTCTTCTCCAGAGGGGAACATTAGGTGGTTCGTTAGATTCATCACACAGGAAATGTTAAATCCTCCAATTAACTGTAGCACAGTTTTATAGTACAATTGAAAAGTTAGTCAAATATCTTCAGAAAGCACTGGCAGTGCTAGAATTATCCAAGTAAATCCAAAGCAGAAGAAAGAAGCACCTTTCATACCTGCCACTGGGAGACCAAGGAGGTAACTGGACTTGGAGGTACTTGGCAGATATAGACACAGGTGGGTGGGAATTCGCTGCAAGAAAGCCAAGCCACTCAGATCTCCCTGTGAGTTCTAGCTCCTGCCAGTGCCAGGGAATGCATGAAGGGCAGCAGCAATAAAACAGTGCTACAAAATGCTTCTCTCATTAGGGCATGGCTCAAGGTGGCCCTTTGTGCGAGGCTTAGCTCTGAAAGCCTCTGAGCAAATGCACCAATGAGTTCCTCATTGCAGTTCAGTCTCTCCAGTTGTCATGAGGGAAAAAAAGAAGGAAAAAAAAAAAAAAGGCAGCCGGTATCCAAAGTTCATGACCTGTTCCTCTTGGTTTTATCCTTCCTATGTGTGCTCTAGCTCCCCTCCTTGCAGATGTCACAACTTGCGCTGCTGTGCATTGGACCCTTTGCCGTGAAGCTGAGAAGCATCTGAAAGAAAATAAAACCAAGTGGGAAGGGGGTTTGGCATCAGCTCCACAGAGCTGCGTGCATCCAAGGCAGCCAGATCTCTCTGCACAGAAAGACATACTTTGCCCTTCCAGCACCAAGGAATCAGGGGATGTGCTTGGAGACAGCTCACAACTGGGAGCAGCCCTGCCTCTGCACCTGAGTAAAGGACACGGGAAGCACTGAGGGTCAACTCTGGCCTCCCAGCAAAAGCACCACGGCATAGATTCAGGTTGCTGGTTGACCAGCTAGGATAGGCCCCTCTCTAAAAGCCACCCTACCATGTCTCCCCATCTAGGAAACTAGAAATACATGGTACTTGCTGCCTTGCATCTAAAGGTGGTTTGAAATAACACTGTTAGTACACCTTTGCCGTTGTATTGAAGGCTTTAGGTGCTCACTGACAGCAACAGAAATCATAGGAATCTAACCACTGAAGTAACAGAAAGGAAGAGATGTTGAGGGGAAAAGAGAAAATGCACTGAAGAGAGAAAAAGGAAGGAAGTTTAAGGAAGCAGAAGTTTTCCAGGAGCAATTAAAACTACCATCAGACTATGATGAACAAATGGGTGTACTGAGGTGTGCAGTTAAGCAGCAGTGGCACTGAGCAGCGCAGCAACAAGTTCTTCTCCAGGCCAAGGACAGTTCATTCCATGCAGTATGTCACATTTCTAAAGCAAGCAGACAGAACCATGTTCACAGCACCAGCATGCAGGCACCTCCACCATCAAATGCAGCAGTGACAACACACAAGCAAGCACTGGATGCTCTTTGCTCAGATGCTCTTTGCTGAATGCTGGTATAAGCACTTTCATTTAAGACCTCAACATTTCCTTGCATTTGTAGTAACCTCCCAACACACTGGAGTCCTCGCAGCTTTCAGACAAAGCAATGCAGCTGTGGCCATCTGCTTGTACAGCCAACCAAACCACAGTTTATGCCACAAAACAAATACATTTTAAGATTATGGTGGTCACTTCAATATCTACTGTGTTCCTCTACAGAACATCACAATCAGTGATATTCCCAGAGATGATAGCACTAGGCTCAATCTCCAATCTTTACATGAAAACATCAAGTGAGAAAGCAAGTCCTTGCTGAAGCTGTCTCAACAGTCAGTTTTTCTTCACTTATTCCTAGTCACCTTTTGTTTACTCGCAGCTTCTGGCACTATGTCAGAGCAGCAGTCCATCATAAAATTCTTTTGTTATAAGCCCTGTAAGCAACAGTGAAGTAACCACTCTGAATTTCCTCCAATAATGTGACAGAGCACTCCTTCTCAGTGACACAGAATACATTTCACAACCCATGTTCAAACTGAAATCAATCACCTCACTCTCCAGTAACTGTGAACTTACAAACAGGAAGGAAGGGTCTGTCACACCAGTGATTGCTGCTAGTAGCTGCTGCTTCTACCACACTGGAGTGGCGTAACAACCCACCTCAGACAAACTTCAGCAAAAGAAGCTAAGACAACAAATTCTTTGAATTTCCACCAGTGCAGATCACTCTGTTCTTTCTTCAGCAAACAAGCACTGTGCTTAGTAGTCAAGGACATTTCACCCCATGATTGCTACGGGAGGCCACATGAACTCCAGCAGGTTATCTGCACATCTAATGGCCTCAGTGCCACAATTAGGCTAGCACATCCACTCCTGAGTCAGGCTCATATTGCCCAGTAAGACAATCGCAACAGGAGCGAGCACTAAGACAGTGGCACTGAACTGCACTGAAGTGCTAGAGAACACTTGATCAAGAAAGCAGAAAGAGCAATTACCAATGGGATAAGCACCTCCCTGAAAGCAGATAAGCCAATTGGCTGGCCCTGCATTTCAAATTTCTGAATACTGCATGGATTCCCCTTACTTCTCTCCTTCCTCCACAGTGCTGCTTATTTACACAGGCTCACAGCCCACCAGGTAGGACTCCATTTATGAGCAGAGGTGGTGTTCTTTGGAAATCTCGTTTTATGCATTGCTTCTGCAGGCATCAAACTGGGGCAGGAACAGGCTTAACTGCAAAATCATCATGTTGTCAACACCAAGTGAAGCAGTCTCCACTTACACTACAAACTTGTCGTGAAGCAGATGCAGGCAATTAGCTCAGTGCACCAACACAAGACACTCTGGTCTGACATATTTTATATAGGTCATCAGTACCAAAACTCCACAGAGCCAGAATATTCATTCCTAGGTAGTCCTGGCAGACTGTGCATAAACACGTACAGCTTTAATCCTGGCAGGATAATTCTTCACCACGACGCAAGCAGCAAAGCCAAGTACCTCCAGGAACCAACACTCGCTATAAGCACTGAGGGCTCATCATTCCAGAAATGCACCAGTTTGCCCTGGCTAACTAAACAGGAAACGACACAGAGGGCTACGCCTCGCTTTGTACCTCAGGGAGGCCACAGGCTATAGCGACAACCGCACCAGTCAGACAACATGGACAACCACTTTGCTTTCACCCCTAAAGAAGTATCTACTGAATTACAGGATGACTCACGACGCAGAAGACAAGCACGACCGTCTGACAAGTTACCTGGCAAACTTTGCGGTAAATGAGTGGACAGGGCAGAATGTGGGAGTGGCGCTGCATGGTGGGGGCTGGAGTGCAAGCCAGCTAGAAGACCTAGAGAGAAAAACAAAGAAAGGAGAGGAGGGGGGGGGGCGGGGGGGGGG